TCTTAATTTTAACTAATTAAATTAATACATATACAATGTTATTAATTCGTATACTATGATATGGGACGAGATCAACGCTTTAGATCACTGACGTGATTAGAAGTGGGTCAGATTTGGCCATCGACCTTCTAAATAAAATAAGATGTGATTTTCTGACTTTAGATTTCAAAAAAACACACACAAAAACATTCTTCTACATAGAGGCAATTGTGAGCACGCAATGATACCCCATTTAGTGATAGTCTATTAGGCCAAAACAAATTATGTTGCCCTCAAGTCGGAAAATTGAAAAATTGGGTCGGTCGGATTTTTTTAAGAGAAATACAGATCAACCCGTGGTTGAAATTCGCCACTTATCCCCGGGGACCCTGGGGATCAAACAACGGTCCGGGATCGTTAATTTTTCGAGGAAACACTTTTTACTGCTTAAAATGGTGAGTTTTTAATATTTGGGCCTATTAAAAGTATATATATATATGTCATATTTTTCGGTCGGTCGCTGAGGGCAACAAAACATTTTTTTTGGCCTTATTTAATATTATTTGGGGTTTCGATGAAATGTCGTCAATCCCCGAAACTAATACATGAAAGAACAATGTAAACGGGCACGGTTCTTTTCGGTGGTACTGTGATACGGGTATACGTCGCTCAGACAGGTACCTTCACATGAAAACCACTATCACACAGTGTAGTCCCAACACAGAATTGATCTATTATAATCTGCCCTTAATGAAACGTTAACGGCACCCTGCAGGAATCTCTATCGTCAGTGAGTACATGTATTTTGGTGTTTTCTTTTGTTTACCATTATCGTACAACTGTATACCGCCATATTCCATCCGAAAATGACACGAACCGTTAAAAGATGTTCATTTTCGGGTAAATATAAACGGTCAGTGGCTAACTGCATTGTTTATTTTAGTTTTGTTGCTGCAAAAAATGTCAATAGAGTAAATAACTTGATTTATGATGAATAATTTTCATACTTGGCAATTTTGGAACATCGTGGGCATCTCTCGTATCGATTTTTTCCCCAAACTTCAATGTATTATCGCTGCCCTTGCCAAAAAATGGAAAAAAAACACAACAATTGTCATACATATACCCTAGAGAAGGGTCTGGTTTATACAAAAACCGATTACAGAAATAATATTTCATGTCATTCTGCTTGCGTTGTTATGTATTCCTTAACCAGTAAATACACTTGCAATATTGTATGTAATGATATTATAGAAATTCGAACACGTTCTGCGTGACAACTGTAGCGTTTTGAGTATTGTAATATTCAGACTTCTCATAATTACCACGATTTCATCCGAATTTGAATGGGAAAAATGTAAACTCGCCCTTGTGTTTATTTTGCAAGAACGAAGATGGGACACTTGGGCATTTACTAGTTCTTTACTACTGTGTTTACATTTTGTGGAGAGAGCTTCACGGTGTAGTCTTATTGTGTAAACAAAGAATTACTAGTATATTACAATCAGAGATGGAAGCCACTGGAAAACTTGAGCACATATGAACGATTTTCAAATATAGTAGTGTCACACCACTTTACACCACATTTTGTGCTGTTTTCTTTTGTCTCTGTCTTTTTCCTTCAAAGCTGTGTATTTTATAACGCGTGTAAAATAAGCGAATTGGTTTACAAAATTCGAACGCTCGCCAACGTGACATTAAAGACGGCGAATTTATCGAGGGTTAAGGGTTGTCAAATCTGAATGAGCAAATATTTTATTGTTATCACTATAAGCGTGAAGTTTATCAATTTTCAAATCGAGCAAAATTATTCTTTCTCATATAACTCTGCTTATGGAATGGCTTGCTGTGATTGTTGAGCAAATGGCTTGATGAAGTATGTTTTTGTTGATTCGTTTAATAATTCACAATCCTCGCCAGAAGTCTGAGTACATGACATGAAAAGTAAACAAACACTGACTTTGTGAGTTGGAATGCAACAACTTTAGAACTGTGAACAAATATAACAAAGTTACATTATTATAGTGCTTCATATAGTGAACGTTAAAACGTGATTTAGAGTACTTGAAATGGCAGTGGTAGTCGTACGGGGTACCATGCATATTACTCGCGTTGTGAACATTGGGTGTGGTTCTTTTATGTCGAACGGTTTAGAAGTAAGGCAAACAAAATATAAGACATTTTCATTCAGACTTGATTTTAACTTATTATAATATACTGTAAAATACTTTATTTTAGTTGTAAGTAATTTTAATTTTCCGTTATTTTTGCTAGCGTGTAAATATGGCTGGGTGAAAAAAAAACTCGGACCATTTATCTCTTCACTATGCAGGAAAAATCATTATGATTCCAATTTTGTCTTTTTTAGTCAAATAAGGTTTAAAATAAAATCATTTTTTTCTGGAATATGCAAAAAAGAGAACAACTTTTTGCAAGCATTATGGCATCTCGTCGGAAGTAAATAAAATAGTCCATCCACAGAAAATTGAAAATGACTGGGGTTTCGTAAATAAATACATGTATGCAAATTTCTTTAACTGGTCTTTTAATCGACAATCAAGTGTTAGGAATGAGAGGGGGATTAGGCAGAAGTTCAATTAGAGTATTTAAAGTTCAAATATCAAATTGTTGAATACTGTCCAAGGCATTGAAAAATAACAGGTTAACTTATGAATGATGTTTAGTAGATATAAGATCATGTGAATTTGAGGCTAAATACGAATTAGATACAAAAATGTCATATGGTTTAGAGAAGCATGGACCCAACAAGACATTAGTAATGGAAATCTATTTTTATGACTTTTTCCGGTAAAAATGTTTCGATATTTATATCCAAACTTTTTCACATAATCTGAGCAATTGTCTCTGATAAAATATACACCTGCGTTTAAAAAAAGAACCTACACCAGAACTTATTTGTCATGTATCTTCCAAATATTCCTCAGATTAGCCATGTGTAGGTATCGAACCTCGTCCCATACACTCATCATTGAAACTGGTCGATGGAAAAACACCCCAAGGCAAAATGACATGTAATCTACCACAGTCCCTCTATCTGAATTCTGATAGAGAAACTGTGACACTATCGAATTTCATCGCAATCGAGGGCAATTATCATTTCATGTCCCCTTTATAGCCTATAAAATTAATATACTGTTCTTCTTAAATATTAAACCCATCCAGCCTCCAAATATCAATAATCATATTTTATTTATTCGTGACGAGGCTGTCACAAGAATACTGGAACATTACACATATTTCACTTTCTAATTTAATTTTTATCACAATTCACTAGTGAAAGAAATTAAATGATGAAGTCGGAAAGCAAATAAATGATTTCACATAATGACAAAAGGGAACAAATTAATAATGACAATGGGAAATAAAAACATTTCAATGAATATTGCATTGGCCAAATTTATAAAAAACAAAAAAAAAAAAACATAAACAAAAAAAACTTTATCATGAGACAGCAACACCTCTTGTCGGCTTAGTATAACCTTTTTTTTAAACATTGCAAAAACAAAAAAAAAACAAAAAAAAACAAAAAACTGCAGCACCCCATAGTATAATTATAGATGTATTTTCGACAGTGAATCATGTTATTTGTAAATGTAATTTTGTAACTTGTATGTACTTTTTATCTTTTACTGTTAATCAGTTTTTATTGTCTTGTAAATTTAGTGACCTTACTGTTGTGTACTTTCCAAAGTCAGTGCTGTGTTAATAAATTAAATAAATAAATAAGTGTCTTTAGTTTCACATGCCTTGCTCCTCCCAGTGGGAGTAAACATAAGAGCCTCCCCATAAACCAACCAACAAAATAATATCCACACCAAGCTGAGTGTTCCAGGCACGTGATTTAGCCAAACAAATAGACGTGACAGGAAACGGAAAGAACAATAGAATTGTGAAGGAGGTCCAGAGAGGGCGTATCACATTTAGCAAATAAGTAACTCGCTAGACACCATCGACGCGCGCGTTGCTGTGCTCAGTATTTCGTTTACAGCACAAGTTTACTATCCTGTTCTTCAGTCGGAGTGCGCTGTCATTACAGTCGTAAATGTCGGTCAACATTTGATTCACTGCCCATGTCGTAACATGCATGGGGCGTAGGCGCACTAGTTTTCTTGCCCAGGCCTTCGATGGCTCGTTTAGAAAACCCCCTAACTTCGTTTTATTTGTGTTAATTGGTAACTGCGGACATTATTTACACTCGTCGTCCATTAATAAACCGGGCGTGGAAACCACGTATCCGATTATAGTTGCGGCAGAATATTCATATTTTATGATAGTCAGTGTCTTCAGAACCCCCACACTCTTTAATTTTACATCGATGCCACCTCGAAGAACAAAGAAATTAAAAAACAAAGAAACCTCTTTAACCGAAGCCATGGGTATTAAACTACCATTTACATTGAGTGCGGCACTTTCGCGTCAGTGCAGACAGTGTGGACGGCGGAAAATGCAACCCAGGGAGAATGGGTGAATTACTTCCTCAGGAATAAAATGTGCTCTTCTAGTGAAGTGGTTTAATTATTAAAGTACAATTTACGTAAGTTTTGACTATGTTGGGGAAGCATGGTGACCTCCCAAAATAATGGCCTTGGAACTATTGTGGATATGTAAATTAACGATCGCGGGGGTTTAAAGGATATATTCATCCGCAGTAGGAAAACGCCCTTATCATTGATGATGGGGGGTGAATCGACTCTTCTTTATTTCTACTTCTATTAGTAATTGTGGAGCCGAAATTTAAAAAAAAATAACTAAACTACCCAATGAAGTATACATCTCTGTTGAACAAGAGTAATTGGGGCGGCAATTGGAGGTAGAAAGGGAACTATATTTTGTAGGGTGTTTACTCGCGGGAGGTCAAGGCGAACTCAGGCTTTCAATATGGCGGCCGTGTCGTTGTTGGATATTGACTCGATGGTTGGTTTTTATTCGTAATTTTACCCGGGAAAGGGGTGATTGCCGGCCAGATAATTAATTTGCTTTGATCGACGTTTTGTCTGTGTACGGCTATAAAATTTGTGGATTTTTTCAAGAAGAAATACGACAGTCAACATCTCGGGAAGAAACCTCTATGTGGTCTCTGGAAACCTGCTAATTAAGAGTCTTGATGATATCCTTTCTTGTCGCTGCCGTATTCGATGTAGCAATAACTGGCATACATTCACTACCAAAGACAGTGAGACATATAAATCGACGCGAAAAGTGAAAAGTTGTGGATTTTTTGGGAAGATTGACAACACTGTCCTTACTGGTAACTCGGCGTGGTGTTTACGTACAAAATTTCAAGAGCAACCAGAGGACGCCCGTCGTTCTCTAAGTCCTATGTAGTGTTTCATCGGATCGTTTCGATATCGAGAGTTCGTTCAGCATTCAATATTACTATGCCGATTCATTCACTGCACACAGTTTAGATCAAAGCAAATCGACGCTATGTCAGGTGAGTTCTCAATGTGTTTAGTTGCAGTCTGTTCGGTGTGTGTTGTGGTCGAAATCTGAAATGAAAAAAAAATGTGCACCGACATGTCTTGCCGGCCGGGAGGGTTGTATTCAGGTAACCACCGGTGTGGGAACGATATTTCCATCTGAAACTGCCGGTAGCAAATTATCACAACACACCATGGTGTGTGGTGATTGGGCTGAATTGTGGCAACTTTTACACTTTTTATTCGAAATCATTTTGTGCAGTCATTGTTTGTGTCTGTTTGTTTTGTGTTGTATTCCATTGGTACGCGTGGCAAGCCTCCAATTTACACCCAAGCTGTTTTTTCCGAGCAGCCATATTTTTTCGGTTCTCTCTACCAATCGACTCGTCCGCTAATACCATTTTATATTGGCCAATCGCGTAGTATATTGGTGGAAATCAATAGTGTCGACCGTCGCCTATGTTAAAACAGCACTGTCTGTGGATGGCAAGTAACGAAATAAATTGTTTGAGGGAATACCGTTGCCGTTGTGTTTATATTTAGTAATATTACCCATCATTCACAGCAATTCATTTTGTTTCTTTGTTGGAATTTACTGAGCGATACCAAAACTGATATTAAATGACAATGCATATACTGAGAGCAACAATGACCAAACAAATGCATCGCAAAACTGCATTTTTAATTATTTATTTCAAAAAAATTAACGCTCAACAAACAGTTATATAATAATTCTCTGAAATTTTGAGTAAAAAATAATTTAATATCACTTTACATTGTGCCACATTCGAGTCAATGTGATGTTTCCCTTAATAGTTTACACAATGTCATTGTAGGTCACTTGTCTAGAAGCATCAAAGCAAATGACCTTTGTTAGCTGATCACAATATGTATA